ACTATTTTCAACAGTTGATGGAAAATGTTTGAATCACCTTAAGTGAGCTTCCCACTAACACTGTAGAATATCAGTGTTTTGCCATCTGCTACATAATAGCAGTCTATTGAAAGACCAGCAGTTGTGTGAAATGATTTGAACTGCAAGCTGGAGTTAACTTGGCCTGTAATGAAATATTGCAAAACACAGTAACGTTAATTTTGGTATGTCAGGCTCTGCTTCTTGTTTTTAAAGCTTAAAAATCTTTTAATGTCTTTTGACAGTCTGTAAGATTTATATTGTATGTTGTTCTTAGAAATTTGTAATTTGGTACTGGTGTCTTGTGGGCAGAAATTTGGCAAATTTTCAGTCAAAAACAATTTCATAAAATATTGTGGGTGATATAAATTCCAAATTAAACGAGAAGAATGATGTATTTTCCCAGATGTGCTTTAATGCATCTACAATCTGAAGCAATTTTGGTTGTTAACTGAAATTTTGTGAACTGTTAATGAAAAAATATATGCTGTTGAACTGTGGGCTAGGAAATAATTTGGGAGAGTAATTGTGCAGAACCCGTAGCAGTTTCATTTTTCTGTAAAATATGCCTACAAATTGAATGTTTATGCTGCTGTGCTAGATCTCATTTAACAATCTGTGTGCAGTGTGAGTTTATATGAACTGATGGTAAATGTGACCAAGATGCATATAGACTTAAGTCAGAATGCCTGTATTTTCTATATAAATGAGTCACAGCTAGTTGCTGGATGCTGTCGTGAGTTGTAATTCAAGTGGCACTGAATATGTGAGGCTTTCTCTTCAGCCAGAACACAGTCTCTGTCTGAAAGGTAGCTCTAAGTCAGATTCAGCATCTTTACAAAGAGCAGTAGTAGCTGTCCATAGAATAGGTGAGCGTGTGAAGAGTTTGTCTGAACTGAAATCTCATATCTTAAAATCAGAGCTCTTGTCTGCTTTGAACACCCTTTTGCCCCATGTAGTTCTGTGGATTTAAGGATTGGGCTGATCAAGAACAGACTAGAAGATGTTTTATGTGGAACAGTTAAATTTCTTCAAGTTTGGAGGGAACATTCAGTTTACCACCAGACACATTTAGCAGAACTGAAAGGGCCAGTTAGCCTTGCATTTTGGTTTTACAATTAGTCAGTTAGTGAGATTGTACCTGTTGCTCGGAAGAAAGTGCTTAAAAATGAATGTTCCCAAAGCGGTTGTGGAAGGATCCGCTGTGTTCTACATAGAAATGAAGAAAGCTTAGTATAAAGTAACTTTTTTTTTTTGGTAATAATTTCAAGTGATATATAATTTGTGTTCTGTAAACAGTTAAGCTCCTGAAGGTATAAGATCTGAATATGTGTGAGGATGCTTCTAGTGCCATTTTTGGTATGTACTTTTAGGGGGAAAAAAAAAAAATTCTGCCATTACTCAAGTATTTATTTTTATCATCTGTTCTTTGACTCCTGTTAGTGATGTCTTTTTTGAAAATAAGATGTTTGATGATTCAAGAAGTTCTTTATTCTCCTTGTTAGTGAGAAGACCTACTATTTATTCATCCTACTAATTCATTTTCTTCTATATGCTTCTCTTGAATTTCAGATCTTTTTAGTAATAACTGTACATATTCCTGAGAGCAGCTCTCTTTTTGAACCATGTTAGTAACATTGTCAGTGAGACAATGCCTTCCTTTACTTAGTACTGGAGCATGTATGTACTTTCTGGAAGAAAAAAAAAAGTGTTTAACATTTAATCTGTGAAATGCTGGAGATTTTGCAAGGGTAAATGTGTTTGTAATTTGAAAAAAAAACACAAAAGACCTCGTCTCCAGATTACAGGCAGATCGGGCACGTGCAACGTATTGAATCTTAGAGAAAGATCCTCGCTGTTTTTTGTGTCATTGGATATGCATGTTTTGACAGATAAATTTATGTCCAATCGCCGAAGTTGCCACAGAAAGTATTTTTACTTCACTAGTAAGTTCGAAACAAAATCCTTTTTTTCCTTTTAATTACTGCTTTAATTTAGTTTCCTTTTAATTACTTTTAATTAATTTTAATTTCCTTTAATTATTGCTTGTAAAAATATCCTTTGTTAGTGGGTATATGAAATACTAAATTGTCAGTGTTAGATAATTGGGTCCAATGTGTTTTATTTACCAACTGCTTTATTTATGGGCTTGTGACAAGAACTCTTGGTCACTGTTCTAACTGGCAGTAACGATGACAAAGTAATTTCTGAGTAGCCAATCTGCTGTTGTGAAGCCTGTGGTAACAAAGTACGGATGTGCATCTACATCGTTCTGATCCTAGATTACATTGTTTCTGATGAGGAAAGTGGGCATGGTAAAGAAAGTTGTGGTCGAGATTGCTCAGTGCTTATTTTGGAGATTAAATTTAGATCAGGCTAAAAGCTTTTTTAACTGTGTTTCAAGGTTGAGTATAGCTCCTGGCTTTTTTTTTCTGTTTTTTTTTTTTTTTTTTTTTTTTTTTTCTTTCAGTATTTCACATGAAGAAATGGCAGAAAAAAAAAACCTGTGTTATGAGCTCTGGTTAGATCAACTGTAAATAGCAAAAATGCATTTTCCGAGCATCTTCTGGCCGATTAACTAGAAGACTTTGTGCAGATATTATCTGTAGTTAGTGACATGTTTTACATTAAGATGAGCAATGGAAAGTACCTGCATTTGGCATTTTGCTCCTGTGTTTATAACTGAGGTAGTGGTCCTGCCTGTGAGAGGGAATGTACTTGTTTAAATACATGTGCAGCAAACAGGTGGGATTAAAGAAAGCGGATTCTGCATAAGAACAAATTTTAGTGTAATTAAAATGATTTCCCCACAGATAATGTTGTTGAGGACTTGTGACCAAAAGGTCCTAATTGGAAAAACTGCTAATGATTGTATTACAAATAAATAAAAATTTGGGGGGCTTTGGTAAAACAATATTGAGGGAAGTGATGATAACAGAATCAAGAAAGTGCAGTGGGGGATGAGGCTGGTTCACTGGAAGGGATCAAACCTGAGGCTGCCTCAGTACTGGGTGCAGGCTTGCAAAGTGATGCTCCTCACGTCTCTGTACTACACAGAGCGGGGGAAAGGATTACTCCATATATAAAATGTTCTCTGAGGCCAAGTATCATTTGGTGTTCCTGTGGCTTTCAGTACCAAAGTTGTTTCACAAAAACTTTTTTTTGAGATTGATGTGGGACACCCTGTGACGTGCTTTGCTGTCTTCTGCCTCATGCAGCTGGTAGTAGCAAATCAGTGTCTTGACTGATGTGTGTGGAGATTGAAATCCTTTGAGTGAAAAGATAACAAGGCAAAGTTGCTCCTTGAGCTAGCCAGAGAACTAGTAGAACAGGAGAAATGAGTATCTTGGTGAAAATTGACTAGATTTATTTATTCCTCACATTCTATTTATTTCTACTGTGTCAGCACATGTAAAAATTTTTGCTTTAACGTTTCCCAACAGCTTGTGTAGACTTCTGTTCTGCACTCTTGTCCAGACTTGATTAGTACTGCTGGGCGTGAGCAAGCTGTTGCTCTGTTCTGACCAAGCAGTGATTGTACTAGGTTGAGGGTGCAGGGCTGTGACTGTAGAGTGGGTTGCAGAGGTGTTAACAATTCAGAACTTTTCTACATGAAATATCATTTTCCAAGAGTTTTCAGGCTGCTTTAATTTTTCATTATTCAGTAAGTCATTTAATACCAGAAATATTTGCTGCATGACCTGTGGGGGATGTGCATGAATGTAGCAAACTTGCTGAAAAAAATAATGGAACAGATGGAAAAGAAACAGTGAACTGTATAACGTGGTTGTGGTAGTGTTTGTTTGCTTTCATTTTTCTTATTTCTCTACTGATCTCGATTCTTCTGTGTGTTAATAGAACTTTGGAATGTCAAATCAGGTTGGTCATCAATAGAAGTTCGTGTCTAGAAAATAGAAGAAAAAAGTATATTTGTATATACTTTAGAATTTTATGAACTTAAAGAAGCACTGTGTAGCATTTTAATGCCTGTAAAATGAACGTCTGCAGCAATTACAATTACAGGCTGTTAAATATTCATCTGCAAACAAAAGTCAAGAGAAAGTGTTGAAGGTGAAAATAAACTTACGCTTTTTTAGAATGTCTTTGTTGCCAATATTTGCAAATATGCTTCAGTTAACATGGTGGATTTTGTAACTCTGAATTTGAAGGTCTACTTTGGGAAATGCCATTCAGAATCTTTTCTCATTCTATCTCATAGAAGTTGGCAGTCATGGCAATACTTTTAATGAGATACAAGAACAAAATGTTAGTAAGGGTTCTAGAAACTCTGTAGTGATTGTCCTGAATTCAAAGGAGCATCCCTGATTCGATGATGAATTAGTCTGTTTTTCCAAGGAAGGAGTAATCTTCAAATCTGTATCCCCTGCGTGACTTGATCTTTTTAATATACTGAAATTCTCTGGTGGCATGTCAACTGTATTTACAGCGCTGTATTATTCAGTTGTCTTTTTATTTTTGCAAGAAGCACAGAATGGTTTCAATCATATTTCTTACGCACATAATGCAGGCTGAACAGGCATCCTACAAAATACTCTTCTTTTGAGAACTGCAGCTAATTGTGATTTTGACTTTGTTTCCAAAGACCTTACTGTGACATTGAAACCAGGTGATCACAATGCCTGCAGCACCTGATGATTTTTGCAGATTTACTATTGGAAAAAGAATTTTGGCTCACAGAAGAGACATTCTGCCAAGGAGAGAAGTCAGTATCAGTGGTTGTTTTTGTGACACGGGTTTTTGCTAGGTTGGATGTGACTGTCTTTATTCAAGTGCAGGGTCGAGGTGTTCTTTCCTTTGTTTGCATGTTTTTAGAAATCACCAACATATTTCTTTAAACAGAATGTGCATGGATCATCAAAAGATTAAATTGGATGCTTATTAGAGCAATTATTATTGATACAATAGAATTGAAAATTAAAAAAAATTACTTGCACTGCTTACATTGTTATTTCTATTTTTAGGATGCAAAATTTGTAGAAGAGCGTCGCAAACAGCTGCAAAATTACCTAAGGAATGTAATGAACAAAGTTATTCAAGTTGTGCCAGAATTTGCAGCCAATCCCAAAAAAGAGACTCTAATTCAGCTGATGCCCTTTTTTGTGTAAGTATCTGTCAAGTATTCAAGAAAATACTTAGCCTTTTTCAGCACAATTTAAAATATACTTCCAACATCTCCCAAATCTTCAAAACAGTGTTACTTATTTTTTCTGATACACAGCATCTGCTCAAATTATAAATGCTTCTGTTATACTTAAAGGAATATATGATGTATATGCTAACTTTTCTTTATTTGCAGTTTTGAACAAAATCACTGTGTAAATCTTTCAACATGAAGAATATGCATTGATGCAGATTTTTCAAAAAGTGCATGTTTTCAGTTTTTTTCTCTTTGGGCTTTAAAATTTGTGTTTTGATTTGCTTTTGTGGGTTTTGTGTTTTTGTGTTCAGTTTTGAGGAATGAGGGTGGATCACTGTTAGTGTGTTCTTACCAAATTAAAAAGTCGAGCTCTTGCATTCTTTCTAGGTGAACTTTGATAGTGTATGTTCTGACTTCACTGGTGTTAACTTTGAATGTGTCCAGAAATAATTTAACACAGTCTCGTCTGCTAATAACCTGAAAGCAAACCCTTTGATAATCAGTCACATTGGGATATCGTTCATTAAACCTTTGTTTTGCTATAAACATGTGATTTACAAATACTGTAAAGAACTATGTACAGCACTTTTAAAAACTGATATTCATGCAAATTTGCTTTTGCAAGTGACATTAAGTTTTGCTAATAGATTTTCTGTATGCTGTGTGCTAAATCTATTCATAGTAAGGCATTGTAGTAAGTTTGCTCTTCACAAGTTTGTACAGGCTGTGAATGGTTTCAGGTCCAGTTTGGCTCTGTTCCATGACTAATGGGGCATGGAGACCCACGGACCCTCGCCCTGGGGGAGGAGGAAGGGTGAAAAGGGGGAGAAAAGGCAGGGATATGGGCTTGAAAACAAAACAGTGGCAACAAGCTAACGGAGAAAACTAATTTACTAAACATGATATCAGAATGTGCAATAACACAATATGATCCCGTATAATTTAAATTGAAGCTAATAAATCAGATAAAATGAGGGAGAGAGTATCCAAAAGCAAAGTCCCTACTCTTAAAGCTAAGGGCGAGACAGCTAGGGAGCACGCACTGCAGAGACGAGCAGCAGAAGGGGCTGCCTTGTGAATTGTGAGCAGTTTTATCTTTATCTTTCCCTCTGAACAGAAAATGGAAATGGAGCAGTGAAAGGTGCCTGGAAAAAATCAAAATCCGCAGAACTGGAGCATTATCTCTTTAACTCATGGTGTGCTCTACATGATGTTATGATGTGGAATGCCGATAACAAAAAATCATACAACCGTGACACAGGCTCTGTGCCTCTGTGGTTAGGCTGGTTTTCAAAATCAAGATCCATTTAAGTTTGAAAACATTTCAGTGAAAGGGAGCATACTTAAATGGAGTGCTTGCATGGTCTTATGCAGAAGAGTTTTAGATTTTCAAGTTTAAGGTTAATTTCAAGAAAGCTGTATTTATTAAAAGATGCATAGGTAAATGGAGGAATGCTGAGTTTTATTTTGTAGCTTTTGTATTTTAAGTATTTTCTGGTTCTGAAGAATCAGGATCAATTTTAGGAGGCACCTTGAGGTTGTCAGAAATGGCACAATGATGTCTGTAGAGTCAAATATCTCACCTTATGAACTCACTTTATAGAATCAAACTGAGGGCTATAAAGATGGAAATGATTTTGAGTGCTTTTAGTCAATGGGCCCATGTACAGCTTTTTGTTCAGTCATCTTAAAATTGTTTTTCATGCTGGCAAATTCAGAATACATTTGCAATTGAATTTTTAACTCGAATTATTTTTCTTCCTGTCCCATTATATTTCATTTTAAGATTATTCTATACAGTTCTGAGATGTAGTGAAATAATTCCTCATCAACTTCATTTAATAATCAGTTGTTTTACATGTGCAGCAGGAAAAGAAATTGATAATGTCTGAATAGAAGTGTAACAGGTACTATTTAAGCTCCTATGTTATCTTTTGTTCATTCCACACAAGCAGTAAAGCAGAGTAACATGTTGGTCAAGGCTAGATTTTCCTCCTCAACATGTTCAATTTCAAGGTTTGTAATAAATTATGTTTTTTGTTTTCAAATGTACACAGAGTAGTTTATTATTAGCTTAGCATTATTGTTAGCTTAGCATTTGTTAGCTTAGCTATTAGCTATTGTTAGCTTAGCATTTCAGGGGATCATAAAGATGTTGACAAAATGAGTATTAAAGTAAGATATAAGTGAACAATAATTCAAACCAGAGACTATTAGATTAGGAAATACAATGGCTATTCCTGCCATACCACAGGTTGCATTCAAGGGCACTACCTTTTCTTTTTGGAATTTTTTTTGTCAATTTCATAATTCTCATTGAAGCAGTGAATTATAGCAGGTTCTCGAATATTCCTTCGTATCCTGACATGACAAGAGGATTCTTTTAACAAGCGTCTGTGTATTATTTCTCTAGAGCTTTTTCTTAAATAATAGAAACAATAATTCAAATAAGAATAGTGCCACTTAGTTGGCCTTATTGCTTTGTCAATGCAAATGTCTGTATTCACATTTTCAAAATTACTTTCGAAATATGCTGCCTATCAGTTAATATTTCATTCAATAGATTCTCTCCACAGGATATAGTTTATTATACAGCAGACACAGGCACTGTTGAAGGATGAACTTAAATCTCTTCACAGAAACATTTGTGGAATAGTATTTTAAATAAGATTTTTGAATACACAGACGCTAATGTCTTCACATATAAAGATCATCAAACTGTAATCTAACCCTGAAGCACTGCAAACAATGTCAGTGGGATGTAAGGAAATCTTAAATGCAATTATGAACAAATTAACTTTTCAAAAAATGAGTTGATGATGGGATATCTGTAAAAGCTGTTGCACCTACATGTGGCTTCTAACAGCATAAATGACTGTTCATCTTATAGGTCCTAAACTTTTGCCAGTGGGCAAATTTTCACTTGATTGCATCCTTTGAAGTGACAGCCTGCATTACCAGCTTGGCACTGAGTTCAGTATCGCTTCAGCAAATCTTTTATGCTCTGTAACAGTAAGCATGTACTTTGATAAAGAGGTATATAATTTACTTGAAGAAAATGGGACTAGCATTTGCTTAAGTATGTGAATTTTAATTGGTAAAGCATCTCCTAATACCTGAAACATGGTAATGAAGCTAATTTATTGCCATGTTAATTGATTGATCTACTCATAAAACCATGTAGACACATTATGCAGCATTTATCTTTCAGCAGAACTGTGATGCCAAGCGCTGATGATCGTTGAAGTAAAAATCTCATATCTTTAAAAAAAAAAAAAAATCCATGGCAACACCTTCCATAAATAGATTGAAATTTAACAATCTGAATTTTCCGGGACTTCACAGATTGTGTGAAATAGAACTTTGATCCTGGCTCTAACGTATTGGAAACTCAAAACTTGAATAGTCACTGAAAAAGTCAGTCAGGTCTTTATCAGGTAGCATTTGTTGCAAATCTGCTGTGCTTTTCCACATGGTAAGTAACTGTTCTGCATCCTCTTAGTTGGTTCAGACTTAAGGTCTGCAAATTTACTTACTTTTTTTTTTTGTTATCTGTGTTGATAAAGTGGCATGATATTCCAAAGTGAAATTAAGAGCAAATAAAATACACTTCTTCCTGTCATGTGATTGCTTTTCATGCTGTTAGATACTTATGTGTAAGTTATTCTATATATCATAGAATTCATGTATGTTTCTTGTAGGCATTGTGTATCAATATGCTTCTATTAACACTGGTTAATATAAGTAATGACGTATAGAAACCAAATGCAGATTTCTATGTGCAAGCAGGTGTCATTTTCATAGCATGTTAGAGTGCACAGCTCAGCATTTAGGTTCCTGTTTAATTTGAAAACAGTGCATATAGACAGAGGAGCAGTTCTGTTAACTGCAGTGACTTTTCTAGCAGGAACTTTGAAGTGGAGTTTACAGCCTGCAGAAGAGTACTGAAATTGCCTTAAACTAGTAGCTTTCACAAAGTTTATTTTGGGCAATAGAATAAAAGATATGAAAGACTCAGCAGGTTTTCTGAATGAGATCAATGTGGTTGAAAACTTGAGTCAACAGGGAACCGAAGCCTATATTACAATAAAGAAAATGTGAAATTAAAGCAAACTGAAATATGAGTTAGATAAATGAATTTATTTGAAAGAGATGAGTTGATGTGTAGGTTTTTAAAGCTGGAGTGAATTGATTTAGATGGGGAGCTGTAGGAAGGATTGACTTACGGACAACAGAGGTTTAGGTTTGAATCTGCTAGATAGTATCAACTGAGCACAAGAGTGTGAGAGAAGCAGCAAGCATAATTATCAGCAAACAAAATAGTTGGGAAAGTATTGGGCAGTAGGGTGTTGTGGCTGTTGATGTGAATTGATAAAGAAAATAAAACTGGAGAATGTGGGGAATAGAGAATGAATGAGTAGAGCTAGAATAACGGAGGTGAGAGAGCTTGAACCAGGTTGGAATGAATGGAGGGAATGTATGTTAGTAAAAAAGACGACAGTAGGAAAGAATGCGTGTCTTTTGTGCACACAGCAAACAAGCCATTTCATGTAAGTAATGGCAATTTGTTTTTTTTTTTTTAATTGGAAATGGCTGTGGTAGGTGAAATAACAGCAAAATATGAGGCTTAGGGTAGACACAGAATTTTTTACTGTCTGTTATGCAGAAGGTATTTCATCTTTTGTTTGAAAATAAACCCGGGGGGGATAAAGATTCAACTCCACATAGGATGTTGGTATGCAGACGTCTGGTGTAGCAAATATTCTGCACTCAGTTTCAAGAAAACAAAGTATTCTGTAAGGGGTATAAAACCGAGATTATGTTTAGTTACTGTTTCAAAGATGAAAATATTTTGAAGAGAATTTGCTGAGAGATGGAAGTATAAGCTTTATTCCTTTCTCTTTGCGCAGGAAGGGGTAATGAATACTTGAGAAAATGTGGTTTAGAAAAACCTGTTTATATGT